CACCCCAAGGGATGACGAGGTCAAATGGTTATAAACTACTGCAAGACAGTTTCAGGCTGGACATAAGGAAGAATTTCTTTACTGTCTGAGCCCCCAAGGTCTGGAACAGCCTGCCATCGGAGGTGGTTCAAACACCTACATTGAACACCTTCAAGAGTAAATTGGATGCTTATCTTGTTGGGATCCTATGACCCCAGCTGACTTCCTGCTCTTCGGGCAGGGGGCTGGACTCAATGATCTTTTGAAGTCCCTTCCAGCCCAAAAGTCTATGAAATCTATGAACTGAAATCAGAAGAATCTATACTTCTGAATTATATAAAGTATATATATTGTTGTAAAAAAGGGTCCTCTACACATGCAGGTAAAGGCACAATGGGATCTAATGTACAGTTGTCACCATTGTACCTCCTGCCATGTTACATGTGCATGGCAGGAAGCATAACTGTAGGATCACACATGAGATTCTATCACATCCTATTGCCAGTGCAGGGGAAGCCCGATCCTGGGCTTCCCCTACACTGGCAAGAAGCCCCATGCACCCCTGATGTGGGGGGATTGTGGCTGCAATGTTCCCCCAGCCTTGGGGGTGTGTGAAACCCCCCAGGGTCAGGGGACTGCAGCAGCCCTGCTTTCATTCACTCCCAAGACTGGGAAATGGCTGCTGCAATCCCAAACCCCAGAGGTTTCATGCACCCTAGGGGGCAACTTTGCTCCCTGGCTGCCAGGATTCAGGTGGATTCTAGCACCCAGCATTTGCCGCTGTGGGAGTCTGGGTCTCCATGATACCAAGACTCAGAGTCCCTTCAGTTGTGGGACTCCTATGGGCATGGTGCATCCTTGTAGCTGGGCGCCCTGTCAGCTGACAGGGCTCCTGGTTGCAAATTTAAGCTCATTAACAGCCATCTGTAAAGTTAGTACAGATTTTCAAGGTGTAACTTTATAGCTGGTTGGACCTTTTTAAGGTGTGATAGCTACTTTGCACATGTAGCTGGTCTCAAGGTAATTGCATGGTTAACTGGCTAATCGTGTGCTATCTGTAACATGTAGAGGGGACCAAAGAAAATAGGAAAGAAATTTATATTTGTTTCACATTGCTGGTAATCAGATTGTGCTTTTGAGGCATCATTTGTCAACTGAAGTCAGGACTTCTGACTAAGGTTCAGATTCTTAGAATACTTAGGTACCTGGGGGAATTAGGTCCCTAACTACCTTTTGCAGACAAGGTTCTTTGGGCGAATCTGATATATTTTATTTGACCAGCTTAAATAGTTGGAAAACAATTTTTAAGCAAGCTTTTGGGTTCAAAAACCCTTCATCAGGCTGAGGAAGTTTCAGCAGTTGGTGTGTGCTCTTCCTCGATGGAATGAAAAGTAAAGAAGCCAGAGGCTGGTCTGGGCTGCATACAAGACAGGCAGTCAGTGAAGATGCAGATTGAGGACTCAATGGGTGAGAGACAGGCTGGGTGTGGGTGGGAAGAGAAGAGGGATGAATAGTGGAGAAGTACCTGGGGAGTCAGATGTCAGGCAAGTTATAATGTGTCATAAATGCAATGTCTATATTTAATCCATGATTTTTAGTATCCAGGAGGTTGATGTAGTGGAGTTCATAGGTTCATTTCTGAGAAGAGTTGTGTAAGTTTCCTTTGAGGATAAGGACTGAGACATTGGAGAGAGAGTGGTTTTCTTGTGGGAAATGTGCCCCCACAGGTAATTGGGTATTCCTGTCTTTGATTGATTCCTGGTGTGCGTTCATTCTGGTGCACAGCTGTTGTTTGGTTTCTCCTACGTATTTTCCATCAGGGCATTCAGGTGCATGAGATGTATTGCATTTCTGGAGGTGCAGCTGTAAGATCCGGGAATGCTGATGGCTTTGTTGTGGGGTATAGTAATGGTAGTAAATTCCTCAATCTATGTCTTCACTGACTGCCTATCTTGTATGCAGACCAGCCCAGTCCAGCCTCTGGCTTCTTTACTTTTCATTCCATCCAGGAAGAGCACACTCCAACTGCTGAAACTTCCTTAGCCTGACGAAGGGTTTTTGAACCCAAAAGCTTGCTTAAAAATTGTTTTCCAACAATTTCTATTTAAGTTGGTCTAATAAAAGATATCAGATTCACCCAAAGAACCTTTTCTGCCTATGTCCTTAGACCAACACAGCTACAACCTACACCCCTGTAACTACCTTTTGAGAATTTGGAACTGAAAGAATACAAAGTTACAATTTTAACTAAAAAGTAGATGTCAATTCTTGATTATTACTGCCAAAAAAAAACCCATATAAAAAAAGGACAAGCCCATATTGTGTAAAAGAAGGATAAATCAGCTGCTGAAAATGATGTGCCAAGACTATCTAACTTTGATAAGATGTTATTTGTAAGGCAATCTTTGTCAGTCACATTGGCCCCAATAAATCCCATGTGATCATTTGCCAAACCTAACTATCTGGAGAGAAGTGCACACAACATCACATTTAACATTAGCAGTCAGAAGTGATGGGCATGCAGAAAAAATCATTAACGAGGGAAATTATCAAAGATGAGGTAGATGGAAGAGCTGGTTCAAAGCTGAAATTAGGCCTAGATACTATGGTAATTGCATCTTGAAATTTTTGGCTATCTAGATTTAAAGAGTATTTCAAAAATGGGGAGAGGAGTGGGAGTATTCAAAATTGTAGCCAAAACAAGGCATATATGGAAAGATGGGGAATTTGCCTTATCTTGTTGATCTTCACACACAGTCTTTTTTGCTTGTCCTAATGCTGCTAATAAAGAACAGATATTTTTGGTGTCATTATCCCATGACATGACTAGAGCAAATGCTTGTGGTCAAAAATATAAGACTATAAGCAGCTGCTATCAAAGTCCACATTTACCAAGCATTAGCACACAGAGGTATCTGGAAGACCCATAACTATTCCTTTGGCCAGGAAGAAACATGTATGGGATGTATACCATGGACTGTTAAAAAAAACTTTTATTATGACTTGTGTCCTATTTTCCTTAGAGTTCATTATGAACTCATTCTATACTTTGTGTAGAAAGTGTCTCTGCCTGCATATTTTCCTTTCTTTTAATATATGGGTTGCCTTAAGTATATGATTTTTAAATATTTTCCCCTTCCTTTTCTCCATATAACTTATAGCAAAGCTGTCCAACTGGTGGCCTGTGGGCCACATGCAGAGCCAGCCCACAATTTTTTGGGGCCCCCTGCAATAAATAGTTCTGGGGCCCCCGACATGAAGAAGCCGGCAGCAGGGGGGCAGGGTGTGGCAAGCAGCTGAAGAAGCCGGCAGCAGTGGCAGGAGGGGTGGCAAGCAGCCAGCTGTGAAGTCAGTGGTGGTGGTGTCAGTGGCGGGGGGGAGAGGAGTGTTGACAAGCGGCCAGATGCAGGGGGCCCTTTAGCCCACGTTTTGCAGGATAGGACTGGCCGGCCCTGGCCACATGCCTACGATGGGTTAAATTGTGACTTCTGGGATGCTGCCAAGCCAATGCTTTCCCTGTCGCCTCAGGGTTCCCCCTCTCTCCTGTTTTCTGGGTTTTGTGCCTGCCCCAGAGAGCTGCACAGGGTGGCACAGCACAGGGAGCTCAGGCTGGGGCTGTGCAGTGGGTGGGGGCCGTACAGGTTTGTTGCAGTGGTGGGGTGCAGAGAACATGAGGTCAAGTTGGGTTGAGTAGTGTGCTGCAGCAAGGCAAGGTGTGGGAGTGCCCAGGTGGCATGAGGCCTGAGGGCCCATGACACCCACTGGCATGGGCCATGGGGTATGTGGTCCCTACTGGTGTGGCTCATGGCTGCTTACAGCCATGAGCCACATTGTACAGCCCTGATTTTATAGACTTTAGGCTCTTTGGTCTCTCTCTCTCTTTTTAGCCAGCTTGCATATCCTGGCTATGTACTAATAGAAATCATAGAAAATGGTGGTTGAGGGGGGAGAACCCTAACAGGTCATCTAGTCCAGTGTTCCTCAACCTTTTAAGTAGAAAGTACCCCCTAACTTCTGAAAATTGTAATAAGTACCCCAACACTCAATTTTCCAGGGGATTTTATATTTATAGACTAATGTGTGCCATAATTTGGAAGAAGGGCTGTGTATATAAGGCCGTGATATGACAGATGTCTGATCTGGTGTGGGTAGGGTTGCAACCTTTTATGCCATGGGTGCACAACTCAAGTATTACCTGGGCCAGAGATGATGCTGGCCAAAGCTAGGAGGGCTGAACCCAGTGCCATGCAAAGTGCAGCACACCAAATTATTACTGGAGAATTTAAAGTGCCACGCAATGCGCGGCGCATCAAATTTTTTGCCATAGTTTTGAGAGGAGGAAGGGGCAATAAAGAGAGAGAGACAAAAAGAGGGCACGAGAGAGAGAAAGTGTTGGGGTACCTGCACAGGTTGAGAAACTATGATCTAGTCCATACCCCTGTTCCAAAACAGGATCTCAAACCATTCCTGACAGATATTTGTCTAATCTACCCTAAATTAATTGGGTGATCTCTTCCAAGGCTTAACAACTTCTACAGTTAGAAACATTCCCTGATGCCTTATGTAAATCCTTCTTCCTCAGTTTTGCCCATTAAACTGTTCATGGTTATCTTCCACTTTCAAACTTACCACACTTCAGTTTGTATCATTTTTGCATCTTTTAACAGGATGCAGTATGTGTTGCAATACTTAAGCTAAAGAATAATTAGTTATGTTCACTCAGTCCAAAATGTAGGTATGTTAAAGGCCATTGTCATACAGAGAGGTAGTAAATTACTATCAAAAGAACTGCTGTTAAAAGTTAGCATCATATTATTAATTTATTATAGCTCTGATGTATGGCAAGCAAAACAAAAACAATGATGTGAAGGAAATTTAAAACAAGAAATAGTCCTGGCTAATGCAACTTTGCAATCTTCATATTATCAGGAGACAAATTCAAAAGATCTAAAATTACCAGTGAATTCTAGGCGTGTACACTGATTGGCTATACAGAGCTTGTGATATGCAGAATGGGCGGGTGTGGTTTATATTTATTTTTCCCTTCCATCATAGCAATAGGTGGATGCTATGTCCTGTCCTCTCGGACTCCAAGTTGTACCAGAGATCAAAATATAGTCCCATAAGCCTAACTAAGGATGACATGGTAAAGTTTCTGAGAGGGAGCACATGATATATCAAACTAAACAGTTTAACTGAGGTCATCAAAGATATTTCAGCACTTCACTCCTATTTAAGTTTCTACATGGGAGTTAGGAACATAAATAGGAATGAGGCACCTAAACAGCTTTGTGCATCTGAGCCTTCTAGTATCCAAACTGATAAATGACTGGTACTGGAAAATGTCTCAATATTACTAAAATATCATATTTACTCAAATATTAGATGAAGTTTCCCCCCCCAGTTGTCATGGGGGAGAAACCCCCTCATCTTACAATTGCATATAAGGAAATCTCACTAAACAGATCATATATCATTAAACCCCCATGATAAAGCTTGCAGCAGTTAAAAAATAAAGGTAACATGCATCAGTACTGGGTGAACTTAAACTTATAGGTACAATATGCAAATTACTACAGCCATGTTTAATTTCAAGGTTACTGTTTTCAAATTTGCTTCATACTTCCATATGCTCAGGGAGAGCAGGATCTGACAGTAGGGGGAGGGGAAGGAAGTTCCAGGGGAAAACATTTGGAGAAAGCAAAGAGCAAAGGGCTGATGGATCCGCCAGATGTAAGGGGGGTGGGGAGTACAAACTCAAGGCAAACCTCCAAAAATTAGAATGTACACCTAAAAAATTATAACATTCATACATTTTCCATATATGAATCTAAATTATTATGAGGTTGTCTTCTGTTCAAGTAAATACAGCAGATATTGGTTATGAAAAGCAGCTGATAGTTCTGTGTACTGTCACAAGACTGATTTATAGTTTAAATTTTCTGTTGTACTCTATGGCTCTTAGTCACAAGAAAGAGGACAGGACTCTTCAGTGGCCTCTTTAACCACAGTAGGCAAGATGAGTCAGAACCAGAGGGCAGAATGGAACAATGGGAGAAATGCCTCTCTCATGCAGAGAGCTGAGAATAGGAGAAGCTGCTGATAATTTACACCTGTTCTGTTTTTTGTTTTGTTTCTGGAGAGGCAATGTTATCTAGTGACTTGGGAATCAGCTTATCTACTATAACTTTGCCTTCACTAATTCCAGTCTATACATCTCCAAAGGCAGTAAAACAGTTTTCTATAGGGCTCTGGAGAATTTGGGACTGTCTATAATTAGAAGCTGGAATACAGTAAGCACAAGTTCACAGCACACTGGCAACTGCACTGCATGCATTACAGTAGAAACCACAAGTGTGCAAGTGTTCATAATGTTTCTCCTGCACCAAAAATAGAGGTTCTGGGAGAAAAATAACCCAACTCCCACCAAGTAGAAGTGGTTCCAGGGAGATTTTTATCCCAGGAAAATGAATGCTTGTACACTTACTTCCCTGCAGCTTAAATCCTTCTGGAAAAGGTTCTCATGCCTTTCAGAGGTCACGATCACCCTGGTCTGGGGAAGACACAAGGAGTGCAGCTGTTTCCACCCCTCCTATAAAGTGGGAAGGAAGTGAAGGAGCAGCCATTATCTGCTCATTGCTGGCTCTTGATACACTGCATGTCCCCAGTTTGAAGAGTGGGTGTGTGGGTTTTGCTATACTGCTTTCCTGCTCCCTGCCTTTTCCTTAAATTGGGCAGTCCCAAGCGAGAAGAGGCTGGGGGCTTTGTTGATTCCCTCTAGCTCCTTCTTTCCAGCCACAGGGAGGCTGTCCCCAATCTTGGTTCTCAGTCCCTGGGTTTCAAATGCTGCCCTTGTCACCTAGCTGGGCAGCAGGGATGGGGACTGCAAAGCCCAGGGAGTACTGGGAACCTGGGTCAGAGAAGCTATCCACACCCTATTTTGTCCCCTGGGATTTAAATGTCACACTCAGCTGGGTGGTACGCGCAATGATTTAAAAGCTGAAGAGCCAGCAGCCAGGGTTAGGGAAGCTGTCCCTGCCCTTCCTTCTCTGTACCTCCAGTTTTAAAGCACCCAGCATTGCACACAGAGCAACTGAAAAGCCTACTGACAGTCTGCCCAGTTCCCAAACAAGGGAGAGGGCAGGCTGTCAAGTAATAGGATTCTCCAAGACAGAGATGGCCCAATGATATCCTGCTATATTTTTTTCTGTCATGACTTTTTCTTAGAAATGATATCTAGATCACACTTGTGCAATAAATACTGGGAACTTTTTTCCAGTGTTTGAGGCCAATGCATTACAGAAGCCATATTTTTTTCCATCAACATGGTTTTGATTTTATTTTCCCTGTTTCTGAAGAACTTGACTCCTATTTCCCCTTTCTGTTCTAGTTCTAATCCAACATCCTGTTTAGCTTTTTTCAAGGGAGCACTGCCAGGGAAGTCAATTGAAGTATAGCAGAACTATAAATTGATTACAGGGTTAGCTTTACAAAGATGGGGTTTGTAAACTTGCTAGAGCATGATACAGCCACAGCAAACGGCTGCCTGGGATTGCTGTGATGCTCCAGCTGAGTAGAGAAATAGCACCCTTTGATGTAAAAGCTGCAGCAATCAGCTGAGCTGCTTATCCTTAATTTAGCTAACTGGCAGGAACTGAAGGAGTGGTGAGCCATCCTCCCCAAAAATAAAAAAATAAAAAAATCCGGGTCTACTGTATTTACTTTGCTTCAAGTTAACCGCCTACCCACATCTTTGCAGGACTGAGCGCTCCGGGACTACTGATGCTGCCCCGCTCCTGCCACTCCACGTCTAGCAGCGACCAGCAGCTGCCCCTGCCCGCGGGCACTGCCAGGTGCTGGGGCTCGGCCTGGCTCCGCACCCCCTGCTGAAGGGGCGACAGGGCTCAGCTGCCAGCGCAGCGCGGACCTGGCTGTGCTGCCTCCGGCAAGCTGTGAGCGTCAGCCGGCGGCGACTGGTGCTGGCACAACCGCAGCCCAGGGCACAAAGCTGCCCGGCGGGGACTAGCCCGCGGGCTTCGGAAGCAGGACCCCGGGGCGTCGGGGCTCTCGGCGGGACGCCCAGCGCCGACGGGCGCCGCGAGGAGGCTCGGCCCCCCGGAGCGCGCCGGGCCGG